AACTAACCAACCACCAACTAAGTAGTATACTAATTAGTTAGTTAGTATTTATTATTTAGTAGTTCTAACTAATAGTAGAAGTAGTAGTGTGTGTGTGTGTGTGTGTGTGTGTGTGTGTGTGTGTGTGTGTGTGTGTGTGTGTGTGTGTGTGTGTGTGCGAGTGTTAATTGAGCTTGTGCTGAAGGTTGATACTATGATGTTATACAACTATAACATTATCTTACACACTTTAGATATTTACTGACAAATAATGAAAGATTGAACTACAATATACTGTTGAGAAGTCAGATGTCTTTCCAACTATCACTGTTGGTGAGCAAAATATCTAATGCCATTTTTATGGTTTCATATCTTTCAGTTAAGTTAAAACATTTTCACAAGTTGCCATTTTTATCACATGAAATTAGGAGAAAAAGTCATCTTATTTATATTGATTATAAAACTAGTTTACCATTACTATAATTTCCTATATCCCTCATTACAGCTACTAGTTTAATTAGTCATAAAATTATCACACCTAATACAAGTGATTAAGTAGATACCATCTCACTTTTCTGTTGTTTAACAGTTTGGTTGGATGTTCTGGATTTAATTTTTGAAGATATATTGCAATAATATTCCTGAATATATATTGCATTGCATTTTTTCAAATAATTACGATTGTATGCTACTTTTGTATTTTCAGACTGATCATCTTGAATTTTGAAAGGTATATACTTTGATCCAATACATTAAGATACCTTTCATATTTTTGATCATTTTGCCATGAGAGATCAGTGTGTTTAAACTAAAGACATTGCTCCAAAAAGAAATGGAAACTTTTTAAACATATTTAAAGGTTAGTTAGAAAAATCAGATAAATTAGTAGTTTGGGACATTCTAATGTTCCTTATTTTTTAGTGTTCTAAAATGCATACTTGAAAGATAAACAAGTTATTTTTTAGCCAACATACTGAGAAAAACAGGCTTACTAAGCCACACAACTGAGTTCAAAAGGTCTCAAGAATAAAACAGGTGGTAAATTCATGGTTTATGTATTTTTTATATTTCTTTAATAAAAAAAAGTAATTAAAATGTAAAAATTAAACATTACATAAGTAGATGTAAGAAAACAAAAATTGAATAAAATGTCTCTAAGGAAACCACAAAGGCTGCTGTCATGTAATGCAAATACATACTAGCTCTCACCAGGTGGCTTGTTGCTTTATTAAGCTAGCTAGATATGGTTCAAAGAGAAATAAAATGAAATATGTTAGGAGCCTAAGTTTGTTTAGGATAAATACAAGTATGCTACAATATACAGTCATTTAAAGAAAAAGTATTTGATTTTACTTCACATTTTCCAACTTGTGCTACGGATGATTTCATTAACTATCAGGGTAGTAAAATTAGAGAAAGTATAAATCTTTTTATCAAAACACTTTTAATGTTAATTTAGGAGGTTTTAGAGGTTATTCGAATGAAATATGAAAACTGCATGATGAAAAAGAAGTTTTTATTTTTAGCATGAGAATCACCTTTCTCTCAAACTTGACTCAACAAAGGCTTCAAAAATTCACTGACACACCTTTAGTAAAAATACTTTACTAAAAGATCCAATTTGTGTACAACAGACTCGTATTAACCAAGTTTCCAAATTTCACAAAGATACAACAACTCAAATTTACTAAGTATACGTATAGTTTCAAGGGTTGGTCAAAATGACCAATTCCATATACATAGTTAATCACCCAAGTACCACAGATGGCTGTACATTAGTTAAAAACAAGTCATTACAGATTACCAGCATTTCTACAAGTGCTACATATTTTCATATTATAATTTAATTTGGTTTACTCTTTATATATTCATATCCAGGATTTAAACATCAATATAAAAAAAATATATACCAATATACTTTTAGTATATTATGGTAACTAGAATTTTGTTTATACACAAATGTTTTTTTCAACTATTTTTTTTTTTTAAGTTACAGAATTACTGAAACACACATGTGCAAAAAAACTTACCAAGTCAGGTGACTGAGACCATGAAAAAAAAAAACTTACCAAGTCAGGTGACTGAGACCATGAAAAACTTACCTACTTAGATGACTACAACTTCCTAGCACTTGTTCATGTAGTATTCTTTCATATTCTTGGTGCTTTCTAATGAAAATAATTTTTTAAGGATCTCCCAACTTTTAAAGAATAAGCACTATGAATATAGAGACATCTACTTCCTCACTTTATAATACCAATTAGCTAGAACATAGAAACCGAAGGATTTAAAATTTCCAAGTTTTCAAAGAGTATATCACACCACACACACAATGATAAATGATCAAATTCACTAAAATGCAAGAGAATACAAGGAAATCCAGAAACTAGGTAATGAGGTGACTAATTAAAGCAACAGATCTCACAGCAGTAACTAATTATCTCATAAAAAATATTTAAAACCTTCTTAAGTAACATTAAGGTTAATTGCCTGATGCTCCTTGTAGAAAATTAACATGTCTCAGCAACTAGTTCAACCCTTAAGTGAACTATAAGGTTTTACATTTTCAACAAATTAATTTTTCACACAAATCTCTGTTTAAGAGCTATACAGAACTTTTCTACATGGAATGTGAACGTATTTATTTTTATCTGAAAATCAATTTTGATAGAAACAGTGAAGAAGTTTTTCTACATAGACAAATTATGTAATCTAGTTTTCACACACATACCCTTGTTGCATTTCTTCTTTTGTAAAACTAGCTGCTTCATCTCCTAATTCATGTAAATACATGCAATCCTGTGAAAAAGAAATATCTTGAAATAACTCTCATATAAACCCACTTTTTTTTTTTTAAATAGTTAGCTGTTTTCATGCATTATCAGTTAATTAAATCCTTTTGAAAGGAAATTCTTATTTCATCAAAAAGTTGGATCCCAGCTTCATGGAGTGTATTAACAACAGTTATCTTTCCTGAACACCACACCAAGTACTAAAGGTAATTTGTAGTAAAATTTGGTAAAAAAATATACAAGAATCCAGAATATCTGCTATGAACACAGTCACCTCTGTATTTAAAACATCCTAGGATGTAAATACACATTACAAGACCTTTATCTCCAAACACTGAACACAATACTAATAAAATCAACAATCTTAGATGATTTGTCTGAACAGAATTATGAATAAACAAGACACTCTGTTTCATTATATTTATTTTCACACTAAATTTACAGCTTAAGTTCAAAATCTCCAAAAATGTGGCAATAAATTTTCCCCATTTTACATTTATTTTTTTTCAACTTTTGATCGTTGTATTGTTTAAACTTGGGGCTTAAACAGTCCAAAACCAGCACAAAAACTGAAACCAATTTTCATATAACTTCCATATTGGTTGTCAAGTTTAATAAGGGTTAACTACTATTTTGAATGTAAAGTTGGCAAGAAACTTAGATATTTCAGCAATAACCAGAAGTATCGAATTAATAAAGCGCAGTAACAGAGTACACAAGATAATCTTTACAAAATGTTTTAACAAGAACCAAAAACACGTTTCCTTTACATCTAGATAACCAAGTTTCAATACTAAAAACAACAGCAGATTCTGCTTTTAAACTAAAAGCAAAAAAAAGCTTTCTTCTTTTCATTTATAATTTTCTTGCAATCCTTTATGGAAACTGTTCTCTTTTCCCTGATAAACTATCACGATTAGATCCGTGTCATCAGCACTTACTAAAACAGGAAATACCTTTTCATTTCGCAGTTATACATAGAGTCTCAAGTTTGGTTGTGGTTTTTTTTTTTAAATATATATATATATATATATATATAGTATATATATGTAAAGCATAGAAAACAAAGATATCACAATAAAAGCAATCAACTTTTCTGAACAAAATGGAAAATATTCATCAGAGAAAGAGCAAAGAATGTTCAATAATTCCCCGGTGAAAAAGGTACCAGCATTATATTTCCAGAATGGAAAGTAACGCACAGCTATCACTAGCATATTGTCGGTAA